AGTGTTGTCACATTCTTGTAGACATTCCTCCCTGATAGTATACCAGTCATGTTGTCTATCTTTTGGAATTTGATTTCTTGTCTTTCTCCAACTAATTAACAGCTTAACTCATTTTTTTTCATGCACCTCTCTCATAATCAAAGCTTATTTGCTTCTGTTGCAGGCTACAGAGCTGCATTTTGTGCCAATTTCAGTTGTCACAGAAATCATGTGCTTTTGTTAGCTACACTTTTCTTATAAGTCTTTTATAACATTTGTCACAAGTCCTAGACATTATCCTCATTGGATTTAAATCTGGTCTGAAATCCATCCCACTGGGACATGTAAGTTTTCTGGTTTCTCCTTGTGAACCATCAGCAACTTGTTCACCATACTATCTTTCCCTAAAGACATATCTTATTTTGTTAGTTGCTTCAAAGGGAAGACAATCATGCATTTTTGTCATTGATATTTCTTACTTGTTTCCCCCAGAAACTCTCTGTACTTCTATCTTAATATTACAAAGCCTTCCCACCAGAGAATTGGGCTGCAAGAGATTGTCACAAGTTTTTTTTTATTCATTTTATTATTTTACATACTCTTACTTAACTAACCTTAATTCTCCTTTTAACAAACGTTTTCTATATTTGGTCAGGGCTGTTTGTTCTTATTTTGCAAGCACCTAGAATATTATCAAGGGAATGAACATCAGTTGTTTGTACCTCATGATGATTCTTGTTCTATTGATTTTACTTCATCCAAGTAACAAATTGTTTTGTGCAGGTGATCCATCTTGTTTATCATGATGTTCCCAATCTTTTAAAGCATGAATTTCAGGTTATGTTTCATCACATTCGCCATTTGATTGTGTCTTTGGCCTCCTGGTCTCTGTACCCTTTAGCAAGCATTTTATAGTATCATATGGGATGAATCTACATACTTTTTCTTTTTTGCATTTTTCACATCACTGTATCTTCAGCTTGGGGATTCTGGCTAACACCTGTGGTTATTCACCAGGCTTGATGGAATCCATCTCATGGGAATTTTTGTATAGTCTTCCAAACATCTATTATTAGCCATTTCCAGGAAGTCTGTGATTGTGAAGAAGTTTGGCTTCAAAACAAACAATACAAAACAAGAAAGATACAATAATTTGTTTGTCCTATACAACATTCCACCCTTTATGCTAGAGCTAAATAAGAGGAATTTGCTTTTTGGTAGTGGACAGAGGGCACCATCTTGTGGCTGATGATGCCTCAATGGTTATCTTTCTTACCTGCACATGCTTATCCTTATGTGGCACGATAGATATTGCAAACAGGATTACTATTATCACTAGATATCTCAGCCCAAACCAGGATGTGGATTATCTGTTTTTATTGTTGCTTATTTATGTTTTGATGTTACCATTACACTTTCTTCACATTTCTGAGCCCATCATCAGAGACTTCTTGGTTCTTTCTTTGTATTTCCCTTTGTATTTCTTTGTAATTTGACCAGTTTTGTACTCTCTGGCAATTTTTGTTATGGATAAAGAGTGGCTACTGCCTCTGCAGTATGTCATTTCATATTATACGTGAGAGCTGCTCTCCTGAGAACATCCCACTGTAGGAGCAGAACATAGTGTTTCTCCTACCTGTTTGTTAACATAACATTACAATAAAGAAAAATCAAGGGATATTTTGGTCTATCTAGGTCATCCTAGCTGCTACATTACACTAAACACTAAAAAAAAACTTAAAGCCTGCCCTGGTCATTCAAATTTTTATCAAGCTTTCCACTTAAACTCCTTTAACTTAACTGCATCTACTTCATCTGAAGACAATCTATTCCAAAGGCTAATCACCCTGTTAGAAAAATAAAGCTGTCTTAGCTGAGGATAACTTCTGCCCTGTCAAAATTTATATTCATGTCCCATAGTCTTACCATTCTCACTGTTAAACATGCAAAAAATATGATGCATCAACACTATAAATTCCCTTAACAATCTTAAATACCTAAATCATATCCCTTTTGACTCTTCTTTTTTCAGAGTTATTAACCAATACATACATGGAAACCTTTCCATTTCAGGTATCGTCATAGTAGCTCTCCTCTGAATCCTTTCCAACAATTCAATGTAATGAGCCCAAGGCTGAACAAAGTACTCCAAATGTATCCTAACAAATGGCTTATACAATGGTATTATAACTGTTGTAGACTTGAAGGCAATATTTCTGTAGATACAACCAAAAATCCTATTTTCCCTGCCAATAGCAACAGTACATTGCTTGGATGACTTAAGCAACCAATGAACCAAAAACACTAAAGCTATTCCCATCAAAATTATACTGATAATCCAAATTGTGATACTCCACATGCATTACCTTACATGTATTGTAATTAAAAGTCATCTGCAATTTATTTACCCAACACACCAAATAATTCAAATCCTTTTGTAAAGTAGTAGCGTCCTTCTCACAGCCAACAACACCCAATACTTTAATGTCATTAGCAAATTTAAATAATATATTGACAATTCCTTCATCTCTGTCATCATAAACTTTAGAAATGTTATACATTTGTAATAATGTTTCTTTCACTACCTACTCAAGCCCCAAATTTTATTTCCTAAAAACTAGGTTCCTCATCATTAAATTTGAACAAAAAAAAGTTTATTTCATTAATAGCTTCTCTGTGGATTTGTGAAATAAGACAATTTTTGGCAGAATTTGTTTTAGTGTAGGCTTTGCTCTAAAGACAGTGAAGTGTGTCAAAGTAGGCAACTAGTTTTTCTGCTTTCATTATTTGATCGTAACATTGTTTTTGTAGGATTTAATCATTTCAGTAATTCTTCAATTACAGCAGCCCATTAAATAATTCTTTTGAAGTGAACTGAGTCACTACATGCTGGGCTAGTTCCTTAATAGTCATCACCAACTATTTAATGGCTTGTGTTTGTTTGGCTAATTTTCTAACACTTTTGAAATATTTGTACAGTCTTTCCATAGCCAGCCTGTGAGTGATTGGTGTAGACAACTCCAAGTATCTGTCTGATTGGTAACCCTTGTAGTGCTTTGAAGACCAGTATAATCCAACATCCTTGGGTCATCCTTCTTTGTAATACTCCACAGAATGATTCTTCTTTTATGGATGTTATCTTTATCTCAATGAGGCCTTCTTTTCTAATGATAGATCACTATGATCAAGCCCTAGTATTGAACAGTTTTGATTTTCTTATAGATGTATTGGTATTCAAGGCTCTTCTTTTCTACCTCAGAGACATGTTTTCACTGTACTTTTGTACTCTGAATATCGTCTCATGTTTATAGGCAGTTATCTTACTTGTTCTTCCGTAATTTTATATGTTGGCTTTAAACTTATTCTTCCTGTAGTAAGAACTGTCTAAGTTATTCCTAAAGTGATTCCAATTCCTACTCAACATTGTAGGTTTTTCAAGTAGTTTCAAATAAAACTGATTTCTGCACAAATATTAGAAAGATCTACTAATAACAGCTGGGTCAACCAGGAAATATGGGAGTGATTTGAATTTGGAAACTTGATTGAATTTTCTATGTAAAAAATAAACAAGCTTGATAAAATGAACACAAACTTTATTATACTTAAATATATAAAAAAACAGCCATGCAATTGGACACTTGGATCGTTGAGTAACTCATCAGCTTTCATTTGAAGATTTTTATTTTTTAATTAAACTCACATTACAGTTGCCATGAATTTGATATAATAATTTTTAACCTAATTAGATATTCATGTTTTATTAGATATATGAGATTAAGGTACAAATGAAGTTAATTTGAGTACATTTATGTTTTCTATGTAAGTTCAGTGTTGGTGTTATCTCTAGGGAACATGAAAAATACAAGAGATTTGTAAGCATAAATATATATATATATGTAGATTAACTGATTATTTATCAGACATATCCTTCATTATTATGTGTTGTTTTTTAACTATGATATTTTCTTATTCTTTTAAACAGTTTTGAGTGAAGAAATATAAAGATTTTGTTAAACAACATACTTAAAGATTTCTCCATTATTTTTATGTGCTTATCTTAATTAGCTGTTAGTTATCACATGCATGGTTTTAAAATTTATTATGAAAAATCTAAGTCACATAAGTCTTGAAGGGTATGTTCTTATGAACCAAGTAATTATGTTGTCAGAATGTTACAATTTTTAAGTAATATAAAAACCACTGGTACTTTATAGGTAAGTCCAACTAATAAAGAAAGAAAAATCGGTTTCTAATGCTCAATCTCTTGAAATTGAAAATATTTTATATAAAGTAAGTGGTGCACATCCACAAAGAGAAAACTTAAATAAGAAATGTTACATTTATCCACCCACTTACTTGAAAATTTGTTTAAATCAATATTAAATAGTAAAATTATAAATTGTGTTTTGCTTTAAAAGTTTGATTTATGTTTCATATGAAATAAAAAATGTATTACAACCAACTTCAATTAATTTTATCAAACTTAATTATAGTTTGCTAATCAAATTAATGGAAAATGAATTCATTCAGAGCATGAAAGACTAAATACAGATGAAATATCCCTCAGTCAATCTTAAAAAGAAGGTACATTCAGCTAGTTTCCCAGTCAGAAAATACCTAAAATATGTAATATTTTATTGTACATGGAGAATGCAGACAGTAAGTTTCAGGATTAGTATTTTGAAAACCACTGTTTTCCCAATCCTTATAAAACTTGCATTTTTTAGTAATAATAATTTTTATTATCTAATATAATAACTTTAAATGAAGCTTAAATGTTTTAACATTATACTTGATTTGTTTATTTATATGTAATAAATTAAATGTTAGAATGGATGCATTTCTGTACTTTATGGTTGATCTTGATTTAGTATTAATGGCAATAATTAAGTGATATAATTAGAACTGAATATTAAGACTCAGATCAGTTTAATCTGTAACATTCCTGTTAGGGTTAGTTTTTAGTTCTGATCTCTGTAGATAGTATACTTTTATTAGAAGTTGTTAATAATATATCTTAGAAAAAGATTTAACAAAAGCAGAAGATGATGAAGCAATGGACCGACCTATTAGACCTCGAAGACAATCCTTGTTTCAGCAAGCAACAGATGATGATACCATTCGTCATGCTGATAGTGATGTAGAATCAGAAGTTTCTGAAGTGTCTGACCTAAATAAGGTAAGATCTGCTAAATCACAATTTGAATTGATTTGTAATATTGGAAGGATTGAAGGTAACTGATTTGAATAACAGTCTTAGTAACTTTAATAGAAGTAAATTGGGAACATTATTCAGTCATATTATAATTATGAAATAGAACTAATTTACTTTGTGTTTAGATAAAGTTTGTATTATTATAAAGTCAAATGGTAAATGTTCTTTACAGTATTCAATAGTATGTAATATCTTATACATCTGGACTTGGTTTGTGATAAAAAACAAATTATAAAAATTATTATTTTGACTTAATTGTACAACTTTTATATGAATAAAAATGATTTAAAATTATATTTTACAATAAAATATCAAAGATATTAAATGTATCTAATTGTATAAGGATAATATTGTTGCGTATCTGCTTGTTGTTAACTTCCCGTAGAAATTCTTTCCGAGAAACTTCAGCGATACAAGTCCTTTCTTAA